TGAACTGGTAGAATAGAAATATAATTTTAGAGTAAATAAAAGCGAGTCTGATATGACAGCTTTTTGCAGACAATTTGAAAAATCAGTGCTGATATCCATAAATTATATATGTATGATATTTGTGAGAAACAAATTTTATCTTGTCGAAGATGACTAGGTTTTATTGATGTAATTTACCTTATATAACTGAAATAACGTAGCAACTTAAAGATCAGCAAACAAAAAAGCTGCATCGCCCATTGAAATATCTTGATACTGCATCAGCTGTAAGTCGATATCGTTGTTGTTTCGCTGGCAGGGTTACGATTTACGAGAACTATTTTACTCGGCCTTTAGTTTGTAAACATCATTTTCATATCCAGTTGGCATAGCTAGCCGCTATAACATTTATACGATGCTTTCCCAGAGCAAATCCGACGACGAGGCAATTAAATTTTGAAGAATTTCTGAAAATTTTGTAGCAATGTAACAGTATTATATAATTTTTCTTCTGAATGAAAATATTGTTAAAGTTGGAACATTTTTCTCTTCAGGTAAATGACTTGGAACGTTTTTAAAGAAGATTTTCGATTTACATGGACTGTGATGATTTCGATATCGAAAAAGTGAATTTTACCTAACCTTTTATTTCATTACACATAATTCCGATGTGATTAAATTTTATTGTTGGTTGTGACGAACTTGTTTGCTATGCATTTCACGTGATTTATTTTTAAATTTGAATTACGATAACATTGCCATTTTCAGATTTTTTGTAAAATAAAAGAGTTTCTCACTATTGAATTTTATATCAATACAAATGTATACCACGTAAGAGCAATGTTTTTTGTTGATGAGTCAAGTTCAGGGCATCATCGTAACTTAATATTAGATTCAAATTAGAAACCCAATGAGTAATTTGTCTTTTCGATGTTTATCTTCAATTTAACAATTACGCGCCTTATCAGTAACAAAGAAAGCAAAATAATATAAGTTAGATATGCGACATCAATCAACCACGAATACGTTAGATTAGAATATTCGAGTTTGAGGCATTAGATAACACACAGTTTAATAAACAAAATGTTTTTGTAAAATACGCGAAAATGAATTTCAGTATTATTCAAAAAATGAAAGGTAGTATGAACAAAATAGAATTATGAATATGCTAGGAATTTGTTTAAAAAGAATTGTTTTGAAACGATCGAATTTTTCACCTGTTTTGTTTAAAATGACTGTGTCATTTGATTTTATTGTATAGTCTCCTTCTCAAGCTGTAGCTGTAGCAGCAATCCTCTTGCACATTGTCACATGTCTCATAGGATTCGAACCAGGAACGGACGGATAAACCATAAATCAAGGTATTCCAAAGGCCAAGGGCCTCAAACGTCGTAGACAATTACAATCAATTTCAAGTTAATATCCATTTTAGTTAGTTTTTAATTGTAAAGGCGTGTTTCGGAATAATGCTTAGTTTGCAGTGTAATGCAGTTTAAAACTTTAAAAATCTCATATTTTTTGTTCAAGTTAACAAACTCTCGTTCCAAATATTTACCGTTTAAAAGAATGAGGAATTTTGATACGTCCGAATAAGTGAATTTTTGTAACTTTGAAACACTTGTATATATATTATGCCTGATAGCTAACATTTTGTAACCCCCCCCCCTTTTTAAAATGTACTTGTGATGTTATAATACATAATCTCGAAATCCGTAAGACTCATTTAGCTGTGACGCCATTGATACAAAGGGGACACGCACAATTAGCATTGCCTGGAGTGTCTTATCGTATAAATCCGGCCCCCTGATTCGAACCTTGTTAGATTGCTGCCGATTTAGATCTGTTCTCCATTATTGTATTATAACGCAATTGTGTTGCCGAATGTAGGCGGTAAGCAGTCACCCCCCCCCCCCCTCGCCCTACTTCTTTTGGACTGTTGTAGGCCCGTAATCAATGTTTCATGACTTTTTGCCTTTTTTATTCAAATTGTCTCTCTGATATCTCGGATAAACAGTCCTATCTAAATTTCATGACTTTGGTTTAGGTACTAACTTGGCAATAAAGCTGACCGATAAGAGTGGATGTCGAAGCAAATTTTTTTTTCTTACCTTTTTTCTGAAAGTATTTTCCGGCACCATACGTAGCTGCCAAAACGCAACATTTTGGCATAGTTTCACGGCGATTCAAGGGGTATTTCAATAAAAATACAAATAATACAGAAATATTTGTTTTAACAGGCAGTTTTTTTAGAATTGATAAGAAACAAAATCCTATGAATATCACGACAAAGCGTATTTTTAGTAAAATTTATATCAATGGAAAGGCTAGTTTTAAGAACAGTCATTGGAAATTTTAAATACAGTTGCAATATTATGTAGGATTTATTGATCGGAAATTCGTTCGTTTAGTCATCCGTTGTTTTACATATATAATATCCTCGTATTTACATAACCGCTTAACTGTAAACACTTATGTTTCTCGTAATTTAAAATGCTCTCTGACAGTCCGACATATTTCCTTTTTATAACATATATGGGATGAAATCTTCAACAATCTTTTACACCCCACATCGTCGAGTTAAAAGCGTTGTACAGTTAGAAATCTGTCATACGATGTTTATACCGGTCAGTGAAGTATTACTAAATAAAAAATCACAGTCAGAGTCAGCTGCCAGAAAGTGAATCTGACGCATTTTATTGCGATGCGATTAGACAAAATCGGGTGAATGCAGTTCAAAAACACTGCTGTTTCATGGTTTAATATTTTATATGTGGTACAGAAATAATGCGTAATGAAATGCAAGTGCAATCTGAACGAGACAGTGCTTTATGAATTTTTAAATCCGTGATTTATGGATTGTTAAATACGGATACCGAAGAAGTACGTACATGCTCCAAATTAGTGGCGGTAGAATGCTTTCAATGAACAGTTACATTGAAATAGTTTCGGATTTTAGCATTTTAATCGTAAACAGGTAGTTTAGGCTTGGTTTAGGTTCCTCATTAGTTAGTGTAGATTTCATCGGTAGCAGCATATCAGGTTCGTGGTCTATGTCTGTATATGGGTTGTGTAGTGAGCTATTCTCGTTTGAAATGTTATGAAAAATGTATAGCGTTAATTTGATTACGCGGTGGGAAAAGGCAATTATAGATTTTTATCGATTTAGTGCAAGTTGTCTCCAAGCATACTAGTATAGGGTCTAATATGATGGTGTGCGCTTGGACGAAGCGACCAATCTAAAATGCTATAATTTTAGCCACTGTCTTAAAATTTTTTTATTTGTCTCAATCAATATTGTTGGTTGATTTGAATATTTGCGTACTTGCGGTATTTCTAATATGAATTTGAGTTATGGGAGTCTTGTTGGCGATTCTATATATCAATAAGGATCTATAATTCTATGGCTATAAATATTATCTCGTCTGAAAGTCTGCGTATTAATTTTTAAATTTTTACGACGAGATTCATATACGGAAGCCCCGATCGTTAAAGTGCCATTTTTTATCGTAGCATTGGCGAGTTAACGAGTTCCAAGAGTGTTTAAAGGCTGGCGAAAGATTGCTCTATACGCCTGGGTAAATATAGAGAAGCTTAAACGACGAGATATAGAATTTTCATTGCGGCGCAAACACCTTTTATTTGGCGAAGCATATGGACTAATATTTGGAAAATGGAAAAGGTTTTTAGTAAGAGTACGCCTCAGTTGATTAGTGTAAATTCCAGCTAGTATATCTTTTTATAATTAGAGAACAATCAGAAACAATGAAGTGTATTATCAAATATTTCGATTCATTTTAGTACACATGAGAACAATGCGTATGAAATTGCTCTCAAACAGCCAAACCATTCAATTAAATATCGTATACGATAGCTCTTGAACTTTACTGCTTAGTAAATAGAAACAGGTCCTTATTTTGTATAATTTGTCAACTATTTGTGTAATCATATCCTTGGCGTAATACTAGAAAAAATCTAAGTGAAATAGTGTGGTATCGTTGTGGTAAGTTGTTTTGCAAAATGGAAGCCACAGATGAAATCACTCATTCACAATAAATCATTGGCCCACACTCAGCAGCTGGATTTATGGAAGTTAACATTTTCCGCCTTGCTTTGACCTAGGAATTCCTTTCACATCATGGATTAGTAGCGTAAATGATCTGGAAAAATTAATATTTGTAGAAATAATTTGCAAGATCGAACAGCTGTCACACGTCTCTGATCGTATACTCTGTAGAAGTACTGTTAGAAAATGCGGTGAAATTCATATTCAGAAATTAAGTCGGATAAAGCTGTTTCAACACTGCATGATTGCCACTACCAAGATCTCTTGGTATTTTAATTTAATTATAAAATGTTTGATTGTATTCGATTGTGTATAAATCCTAAATAATTTGGGACAATGGCTGGAATTTTTACTACAATATTGTGGTAACGCCTAATTATGAGAATGGTTTTATATGATTTGAGACGCTTATTAGGACATATAGTGCATGAAAGTAGACTGAGGTTTTTGTTACACTAGCGTAATCAGGACGCTTCAAATGTCAGTGCAGTATATTTATGGTGTGAAAAGCAAAAATGAACCAAATTTCAATGCCCCTCGTACTCCTCGTGCCTCGAGTTAAAAACGAATTCAATGCAACAAAAAGTAATTAAAAGTTATCTTTACACTATAGTTTTTGAAGGTTTCGAAATATTTCTATTTATTAAAACGACTATGGATGATCACAAATGGCAGCATCATGAAGACTTATTGAGATGTTACTATACCATGCTCGTTGTATCTAACTCCTAGCTGGTCCTCGTATCGGCAGAGACATCTCATCTACAGACCAATATAGGCACAGTGTGCATCAGTTTAAAATATGATAAAATTTAATAAAATTGTGAACGTTTTATTTCGTACGTATTTTCAAAAAAGTTAATAAATGTATTATATTTTCTGTTCGATAAACTACTTTCTTTTATACATACGATGTATTTTTTTTTCAAATAATTGTCATTAGATGTTTAGAATATAATAAATATAATTAATTAGGGTGGATGAATGTTGGCATGGATTTTGCAACTAAAATCAAGAATGGAACATCCAACATTAAAGTTCTCACCATACTACCAGGAACCTACAGAATAATCGAGAGCATATATGTCGTTTTTGCAATATATATCTTTGTTTCGTTCGCATTCTTTCTTTTGCGACCATATCTGACTATGTTTAAGATATGCAGGGAACCACCAAAAATGTCTGCTCAACGAGCCCCAGACGAGCCGAGCACAACGTCTTACGAAGATAAAATGTCAAATTGTCGTAAAACTGGTAGCCTGCATCGACACCGATATCAAATGTATGCTCGTGTGGCGATGACGTCATTGACAGTTTTAATGAGCTCAATGGTGCTTATCCACGTAACCATGGATCTTTGGGCGTATTCGGATAATAACACTACATCTGCTTATGTGCAGTGTGTTCGACACATCGTCAGTGGTTTATTTTACATCATTAGTGCGTTTTGCTTATATGGATTTTTATGGATACGCCAACGAGCATTTTACGCACATCCAGTCTTGAAACATTTGGCAAAACCGTGTCTGATCAGATTTAGTTGGTCAGTCCTGGCGACAATCATATTTGCAGTATTTTCAATAACAGTATTATTTTTTTTGCCTCAAATTCAAAAGATACATCGGATGTATTCTTTGGATAATTCGGTAAGTAAACATTTCATTTTCAATATTTTAAATTGACAAATGGCTGATCCGAATGAAATCTATTAAATACCAATCTACGGACAAAAATGTTCTCCATACACCCCCGGAGTCCTCGAAATCCAGAGTCTACATTATACTTAAAATGAGGGTAGTTCGTGGAATCACAGATAATCACTGATTTATCAGGTTTCGAAGAAAACTCGTGGACGTAACAATCTGTTGACTAAAGGATACCTCCACTGCCGCTATCTCCAGTGTTTTCGAACAAACAAAGCCCGCTTTACATCACTGTATTCGATTGCGAATGTAATTTTTTTAGCCATGGTAATCAAATCCCTTTCACCCAATATTATTCAATTTTCTTTTAGATAAATAATACTGTAACTTCCTCGTATTAAATATCAATGCGGTGCTGTTGTACAAAAATTGATTCTCGGTGCTATTTTATCATTAAAAATTGACAATCTGAAAATCGTCTTTATTTCAGACGATTACTTTAGACAGCTACGAGATTGATTACGCAGCTTACGGAATTGTTCCTCTCGAATGCGGCTTTCAGAGAAAAGATGTTTATCTGGGCCTTCATTTAGCTGTTACCATGGGATTTTTATACTTTCAGGTTTGTATCTGTCTTTCATCGACGTTTAAATTCACTAAATTATGAGGCAAAATCGTGAACTTGTCAGCATCAATTTTTAGTGGTTAGCAATATAAAAAAAAATCATAAATTTTCTACTTAAACGTCAGTGACACAAAAGAAAGAACACTTCTTGTCAGCGTTTTCTTGCTTAGAGGTAAAAACAACGGCTATATATTTTGTTCCTAAGTACCCTTTAGCACCTCATTGTTGTTTTTGAATCTGCCCTCAGTACTCGAATAATGATGTAATTGTACTTGAGAGTGAAGTTTTTAGTTTCTCGAGACTGCCGCGTCCTAAATAAAACAAAATACAATTATACACTTTGAAAATGAATGTTTATACTTAGAAAATATATTATGAAGAAAACCGAATTTTAAAATTAAACAATATAATTTTTAGATCAAATTTGTATGTAAATGTTAATACTTATTTTCAGATTTCTCTTCAAATTCTATTTGCTTATCCTATATTTAAGCAAAGGCAAAAGCAAGATCGACTTCACAAGACTCCAAGTTCCAATTTATCATTAAGGGATGATTGCTCTAGCAACTACTCGTTCGGACGTAGCAGAAAATCAGGCAGTACTTACGATACAACAGTAGAAGGTGAAGAATCAGTGGTAGTTCGTCTTTCATCCGGATCTGGGTTAGGGTTACCCACAGACGACAAATGCGAGAGCTCCGTTTTTGATGATGATGCCACTTCCGGGTTGTCAATGAAGATATGTAGATTTGAGGAAGGGGACGATATTTCGCAACAAACCCGGCACAGTTTCAGTGTTCAAGTCTCGTCTTCTGATAACAACGGAAACATTTTGAACAAATCAGATACATGTGGAGACAAACTTAAATGTGAAATTTTAAAAGTAGAAGACGAATGTGGAATGGAATCACATCGAGCAAATTTAAATGTACGAAATGATGAAAATCGCGATTCTACATTTAGAGATCGTCCTCAAAATGCGTGCTCAAATGAAGTTACTTCAAATTCCAGCAAGCGGCATCTATCAATTACACAAGCTAAAAACTCAACATCAAAGAGCGTTAGAAAAATTTCGGCTAAATTTGGAAGCGTGCGTTTCAAGGAATTGCGAAGACGCACGACAGTACGTACACTCATGGAACGTCGAAACAGGCGGGCGAGAGCACATCTCCGGGCATACGTCGTAAGATGTTTGTGTGTATCCATAATATGCTCAGTATCTGATGTTATAGCGTTTTTGATCAGCTTTTTTGCGCAGTTCCATTATCACGAAGAACTTGCCAACATTCATTCAGGCGTGACAGAATCTTTAGTGACATCACTGGCTTACAACGCAAACGTGATTGTCAATCTCCTATGTATGTTGGCTTGCTATAAAGATTGGAGAGCAAGAATATGCCCATGGTATTATTTATATAAAGATATGAAAATCATTTTGTCATCTTGAAGCTGTAAAAATTTATTCAGTTATAGTTGTGGGTTAAGTTCAAAATGCAATGTTTGAGTTCAACATCGTAAATACGAATATATTATGTATATATACAGGGTGTGCATAAAGTAGCTTGCAATTTGAATTTCGTAATGAGGGCAGTTTTCAATTCATCTTAACCAGGCTTGTTACTTTATAATACGTAATTGTTTAGGCATTTTAATTTCATTTAATGCATCTGTGAGTGCCAAAACAATATATGATATCGATCAATTCCCTTTGAAATTTTAAATAAAATTTGAAAACTTTATGAACACCCTATATATATTCAACGAATTTAATACCAAAATCAAATCTTTGGTTCAAACAAATCACCTCAACTTAATGCTACGGTGCCAATTCTGTATACCAAAGTGAAACGAGTATCGTATTTTTTGTTAATCCCATAGCCTAATGCGATCTGAAGCATTTGCATTGTTTTTCTCTCTATAATTAATCGTTATGTCTAAGTAATGTATTACATCATTTCGCTGGAACAGAAATTGTATGATACAATACAATTAATTGAACAGAAAGTTTACTTTGAAAGCAGTCGGTATTGTCGAATATTATTTTTTTTTTCTTGTTTTAAATGCTTAATTTTTACAACGTTTAATATATTAAAATGAGAGAAAAAATAACTTGTGTATCGGTATAACTCTCGATCGTCAACATCATTTTATTATCACTATGAGGTCATAAAAAAATCAATAAAAATAAGAAAAGAATTCCAGTTTGTTATAATGACTCCGAATCATGACTGCAGATGTTACATAATGATTTACTCTACTCTATGAAGCAATAACCGAATGATAACATGAAGCAGTTTTTGGCATGGTGTCATTCTAATTATATATTTGACCAATTAAATATTTGATGAAAATAACACTCAGGTTACTGATTAACGAAACATAGTCACAATTTATCAGGTAAAGACAAACATTATTGGTCAAAATTACATTTCAATTCAATGCTACAATTCAATGAAAAAGAGATGATAGTTTATCCACTAAAGGTTAATTACCAAAAACATCAGGATTTTTATTGACTGAGTCAACCTGGATTACCCGAATTAATTCCTCCTATTTTGCTTACGAATGACGTATATATGAAGGATAATTTTCAATGTTCGCTTCGACAGTAATCCACGAATGACGAACCACGTAACATCAACAATAATTTTGATAATACCGCGGACACTCGAACATCTATATCGATTTTACTGACCTTCAGTATCCCATAACTAGGTGAGTCATCTCCTTAAGAGCAATCGAGCGCAATCTACGAGTAAAGTGGGACGTCACAAAATAGGATTATGATCTTGTTCTGGACAATGACACACAATATTAAACGGCAAATAAAGGCATCTGTCAAGCAAGTAAATAGGCGTAGATACATTGGCATATTGCACAGTTTTTCCACCCCTCACATTCATTTATTTTAAACTAAATGCGCTCAATATTAAATATTTCAAATAGTTGTCATAGAAGAATTGAAAGTTACTTGGAAAATGCAATCATGATAAACATTTCATTCTTGTGTAAGCCTAAGAACGATTGACGGGCAAAAAAAATAATTTTCAAATAAATACCTACCACCCAGTATTTTCAATCTAAGAAAAAGATTACAAAAACTCATTCATTATGGCCTCTTTTCATTTGCTTATAAATGTAATTTATGAATTGTATTTCTCCGGTGAATATTACCGTACGTATTTTGTTATATGTGGTTGCTTTTGCATTTTAGTTTCCAATGTAAATACAATCAGGTGACGGGAAATATGATTTTTGAATCTATAGAGGATAAATTATATTTTTGCTCGCTCGGAGTCGATGCCTGACAATAATGAATAATGATATTTATAACAATATTTTACGTGATTATATTACTTTAGAGCAGTTAACATATAGGCCTACGATCCATTGAATGCAGGAGAATGTTTAAATAAGACTAAAATAAAAAACGAGAGATTTTGTTTTGCCATCGATTTTGCTCTATAAGTCGCGCGACCAGTGAAAATTGCTATCTGGATCAGTCAAATCGCGAAAATTTCGAGTGGCCACGGTATACATTCGCCACTGGTAAATATACTGTAGAGCAGAGTTTCCCAAACGCTTCCCCTGATTGCGGACCTCTGTTCTGTTGTTTGTGAGTCCCATTTTTTATGTACCCCATCCTATTCCGTATCAATTTTTGTGCCTAACCAACGAGGAAAAATTATGTTTCACTCATAACACAAACGACATAAATGTAAGAGATGAGGTTGCTTTTCACTCCCCTTTTTTATCAACTCTCAGAGCAATTTGTAACAAGCATACTCGTAGATCTGACTCTACGACAACAATTTTATACAGTTTTTACAAGTTCTCGACCAATGATAACTCAATAACGCATACAATCAATGTAGCTTAATGACTTTATAGCACTGAGGTCTACCACTCTGACGCTGAAAGCAAGGATCGTTCTAAAACAACTCTTTCACTTCCATGGTTAGGTTTTTGTATCAATTACGATTTGCGATCGCGTGAACTTATGACTTTATCACAGTAAATATACGTCAAAATGTATGTTACAAACTCTTTTATTATCGTTGCAGACTCCCTATGCAGTCACCACGGACCCCAGTTTGGAAAACTGTTCCATAGACACTGAGATTGAACACAAAGTTAGTTGTATCCTTTTCTCCATTTGAAATTACCATCTTGGCTTCACGCGACCTTTTGGCATCACCGTCGAACCCTCGGTGTAGGTAATTAACGGTGCTATCACCGAACTATGATGTGGAGTGATATCGTGTGATCCAATGTGTAACACCAGAAATACTTAGAAAGACCGATCCCAAATAGTGCATCTAACGTTTGTTGCTTTAACTTTATTGCATTATCGCAGTAGTAATGAACATCAGTGAGTCAGTTTATTCCCGTATTACACACAATTTAATCTAATTTATGATCATCACTCCTAGCTAAATAAATAAAACAAACATGAAAAATACGACTTGCAAATTGACAGATTCCGGAGCTTAAGGAACAGAGGTTCGCTCACTAAAACCACAAAAAGAAGAGATCGGCAAGAATTTACAAATGCCAAATTATTGGTCAGAATATACAACCAAATTGGCTTAATAAAATATATGTTTGGGACTCCTCACGTATCAACCATGGGAATAATACATGAAATTAATTTATTAGTATCAAATTTTGGATAATAATCACTTTATTTAACCGAATATGAATGTACTACGCCTATTAAATTGAACGATTATCGCAAGACTGGCAGGATTGCAAAAAATAGATATTGCGAAACACTTTTCTGGGACACAACCTAGTGCTCATAATTAAAAAGGGGAACATTTCTTACATACCGGGCCCAAATTAGAGAAAACAAAAAGCATTTTATGTAATTTTCAAAGTGAAATGTTCAAACAACACAATGTGTGGAACACGCAAAAAATAACCAGAAATAACTAATCTGAAAGAATGAGCACCATTGGATCCTCGTAAAAATGGTAAACGAGAATCCCTAAGAAAAAAGTTAGAAATGTGGTGCAAGATCAATTCTTTCCGTGTTATATACAATGCGTCAAATTTTATGTGTGTTGTAAATAGGTGCATTTCGTACAATATGTGTGTATGTGCATTTCACTATTTGCAGTACGGACCTTCGAACAATACCATGCTTGTCAGGGTATTTCTCATCAACAATAGCTTTCGGCCAATGATTGCGAAGGGAACTATCATCAATCATCAACACCAAATCGCCAACTTGCAGATTTCTTTGTGTAGAGTGTCATTTTTGTAGTTCTTGTAGCAGAGGCAAATGTTCTTTCCTACATCTATCCCAGAATAAACCTAGAAGCCTTTGTGAATATCGCCATGTTGTTCTATATTCATCGGTCTTCATAAATTTGTCTGAAGGCAGTGATGGATCAAGTTTGGCAATTAGAATTGAATTTGGTGTCAAAACATTTTAGTCCTTAGGATCATCACTTAGTGGTGTGAATGGTCCATCGTTTAATATTTCTCTAACGCCAGTTAAGAAGGACCACAATGAATAATCTGTAAATGATCGACTATCAGTGATAGCACGTAATCTTTTCTTGACTTCTCGAACTAATCGCTCCACGACACCTGATTGATGACTGCCAATGGAGGTGAGAAGTGCCATTGAATTCCTTTTTGTGATAACGATTCGTCTATTACAAGTTGATTCCGGTTTCTAATTCCATCTCTCAACTCCTTCTCTCCGCCTATAAAATTTGTACCATTATCCGAAAATATGTGAATAGGTCTCGAGCGTCTGTTTGTGAATCGGAAAACGCTTGAAGATCAAGAGACTCTCAACTTCAATATGTACAGCACGTGTGACCATGCAATTAATACGGCATCCATAACTCTTGTATTCATTTTGACCAAACTTGACCTTGATTGAGCAAAAGTAGTCAACAAATGTAAATTCGAACGGTTTCTTTCCAGGAACAAATCTACAACTGGGAAGGTCTGCCATCCACCGCTCACCTGTACGAGAAGATCTTTCTCGGCATTTTATACACTCTCATAAAATCTTTCCAACAGCTGATTGTCCCCATAACCTTTATCGCACCACTAGCGAAGAGTAAGTTTTGCCGGCAAAATGAATGACTGGACAAATCCTAATGGGTCAAATACCTGACTTACCATTGACAAAATACCTCTCCGTGTTAGAGGACAAGGCACAACATTCATTCAAATTACAGTAGTATTAGCATTGCTGTTTGGGAAGAAGTAGAATACGTGCCATGCAGTTTGTAAGTCCGACTTGGACTAATTCATCTTTTGTTATTTTGACATAGACTATTCATTCCAATAATACCACATTATGTGCAAAACTAATTTTTATATAAGGTAACAAGTGTTTTAATACTGAATAAGTTATGTCATTATCTTTTAAAAAGATTTTGGTGAACTTTAAGGGATAGAAAATTTTTTCTTGTTAACAAACTCAAAAATACGCGTTGATACATAAATGTAAAACTAATAAAAGCAAAAGAGAATCGAATTAATCAATGTTATATTCTTAAAGTTTAATATATATCAATTCATTTACAGTCCCGATTTTCTGCAATCAGTGGATCTTCCTTGTATATTAATTAACTGCTCTAAAGATCACGTGATATATTATTTAACAAAAGATAGATTTGTATCTTTCGAATTGCGATAAAAAGGGACGACCGTACTGTATTCAATGACTGAGCATTAGAATGCAGCTATGTGAAAACAATAACACATTTATGGATATTTTTAAATTTTGAAATGATTTTATTCATCTATATTGGACCCGAAGTGTACATATATCTTCTTCTGTTAATGAGATGTTTTTGTTGTTGTAGTACATGTCGTGTTCCTTTTTGTGTTATAGTATCAAAATTGTATTTTTTGCTAGAAAGCTATTACTTTTATATATTTCGAAAATGTCTGTATGCTATATGCAATTCTTTCTTTTCGATGTGGATGACGTCATCAAAAATAGAAATTGCGCCCCTTGTGGCGGTAGTCTTCTGTGACAGATTGCATACCCGTACAACCTCGTTTCGGCCTTCGAGTCCATATATTTGAGCATCGATTTCTTGTTGAAGTATTTAATATAAGATATAAATAAATAAACTAATTGAGCTTACAGAAATTTTATTGTTTTAATCAATCTAATGGAATGAAATCGAGCTATTGGTTGAACAAGCAAGAAAATAGAATAAACGTTGAAACATTAGATTAATAATATAATTTGAGAAACAATTCGTATTTCAAATTTAAAGTAAAAATCATAATGAAAATATAAACTTATTGCACTTGAATGGATTGAAAAAATACGATTTTTTTTATTATTTCAAATATTTGCAAAAAGTCACAGCTTTAAAAGCATCTTTTGACATCTGATTCCGTGTTGTTTCCGTAGAACATTACTTCTTAGTGATCGCCCTGTTGTTGAGAGTGGACTTGCTAAATCTCTTCTTCCTTTACGGGTTAATCTATTGCTTTGTGGTCGAATATCAAGTTGAGCTCCAGTGTATTGTGAAAAGTTATTAGTGTGTGTCTTGTTGTAATATACTTTAGATTCTATTTCATCCGCATTTGGATGAAATCTTGATCGGTATTTTCCTTGGATCATTGAGCATTCTTTGTTTGGAATGTATTTCCTAAAATTGCGTGAAATATTAATATCAATTTGTGTGAGATATCTTTCATTTCTTGGAATAATCAACTTGTTTTGTCTTGGATTGACATGCTCGTTCAAAATCAATAATTCTTTTAAACTCTGTAAAGATAAATATAAATAATGGTTATTAGTTACGTTGTGAAAAAATATTTGTTGAAAAGGTAATTGTTTCGATTAGGCTATAAAAATGTCTCATGCATAATGAAGCTTACCATAGATAATAGATCTTCTGTGGATTGATTTGAGTCGATTTTGCGGCACATACTTTAATAATTCCTCTCTTTGGATTGTGTAGAAAGTGTTATGACAAAATATAGTCAAATGATTATGTTAGGCCCAGCAAGTCATATTTATGCAGGTCCATACGATCAAGATAAGATAACGCTATTGAATATCTTGTTTGAATTGAAAGATAATTTGAACTTTTATAGTAAATTGCCGACCATAGTTAAATTTGCTTTGGACTGATAACTTATCTCAACAATAGCAAATTTTCAATTAGTTTATGTAAATCTTATCAAACAGCCTTTTGTGCATACTTATCTGAAAATAACGAACTTGTGAGAATATAAAACAGGCATAGATAGCGTTCGTTTTGGGACTACCATGACATTTCCGTTATCATAAAGACTTAATAAAAGATGGGGATATCTCTCTTGCATCAAAATCTCTCTGTCGATAAAAATATTACCTAGTTCCTTTTGGTTTAACGGAAAACGTTTCATTATATTTTGTATTTTTCAAAACATTGTACGAGGTTTGTTGGTGGGCAATTTAACATCGAACAGAATTTGGCAATTTTTTTAATTCACAACTGATGAACTCAACAAATTCGGCAATTATTCGGTATTGTTAGTTATTAACATCACAAACTATCAAATATTGACATTCGCAATGTCAGAAAATGATAGTTGAAACAAATCTTGTTTTTGGTTTATGAGATGAGTAGAATGGTAGTAATTAGCATTGCTATTTGGGAAGAAGTTGAAAGCGTGTCATGCAGTTTGTAAGTCGACTCGGTCCGATTCATCTTTCGTTATTTTTGACAAAGACCTTTTCATCCCAATAATACCGTATCATGTGCAAAACGAATTTACATATAAGGTAACAAATGTCGTAATACTGGAATAAATTATGTCATTATCTTTTAAAAAGATTTTGGTGAACTTTATGAAGGGATGAGTACAATGATAGTTATTAGCATTGCTATTTGGGAAGAAGTTGAGAGCGTCCCATGCAGTTTGTAAGTCCCGACTCGGTTTAATTCATTTTTTTTTTTATTTTTGACATGAAAAGATTTTGTGAACTTCATGAAATATAAACTTTTCTCATGTACAAAAACTCGAAAATCCGTTTCGACACATAAATGTGAAACTAATAAAAGCACAAAAGAAAAGAGTTAATCGATGTTACATTCTTAAAGGCTAATATATCAATTCATTAACCGTTCCGATTTTCTGCAATCAGTGGATTTTCCGTATATATTAACTGCTCTAAAGATCACGTGATATATTATTCATAGTTGTACACATAGCTTCTTCTGTTATTAAGATGTTTTTGTTTTTGTAGTTCCTATCATGTTTCTTTCTTGTTAGTATATTTCTTTTTATGAAATATCGATTTACTCATTACCTACTGGATCAAATGCTTTCTAATTTTCAGTGCTTCAAAATTGTATTTTTGCTAGAAAGCTAATACTTTTATATATCTCAAAAATGTATGTGTGCTATATGCGATTCTTTTTTTTCGACGTAGATGACGTCATCAAAAATAGAAATTGCGCACCTTGTGGCGGTAGTCTTCGGTGACAGATTTCATACCCGTACAACCTCGTTTCGGCCTTCGAGTCCATATATTTGAGCATCGATTTCTTGTTGAAGAATTTTATAAATGATACAAATAAATAAAGTAATTGTGCTTGTAGAAATTGTATTGTTCTTATGGAATGAAATCCAGCTATTTGCTGAATAAGCAAGAAAATAGAATACACGTTGAAACATCAGATTAATAGTATAAATAGAGAAATAATTCGTATTTCAAATTTAAATTAAAAATTATATTGAAAATATAAACTTATTGCACTTGCCATGTAAAGAATGACTTGAAAAATACGATTTTATTAATATTTCAATTATTTGCGAGAAATCACAACTTCAAAAGCATGCTTCGACATCTGATTCCGTGTTGTTTCCGTAGAACATTACTTCTTAGTGATCGACCTGTTGTTGAAAGTGGACTTGCCAAATCTCTTCTTCTTTTTCGGTTTGATCTATTACTTTGTGGTATAATATTAAGTTGAGCTCCAGTGTATCGTGAAAAGTTTTTCGTTTGTGTTTTGTTGTAATTTACTTTAGATTTTATTTCATCCGCTTTTGGATCAGATCCTGAACGGTATATTTCTTGGATCATTGAGCACTCTTTGTTTGGAACGCTTTTCCTAAAATTGCGTGAAATATTGATATCAATTTGTGTGAGATATTTTTTATTTCTTGGAATATTCAACTTGTTTTGTCTTGGACTGACATGCTCGTTCAAAATCAATAATTCTTTTAAACTCTGTAAAGAGAAATATAAATAATGGTTATTAGTTAGGTTGTGAATAAATATTTGTTGAAAAGGTGATTGCTTCAATTAGGATATAAAATGTCTCATGCATAATGAAGCTTACCATAGATAAAAGATCTTCCGTGGATTGATTTGAGTTGATTTTGCTGCACATACTTTACTAATTCCTCTCTTTGGATTGTGTAGAAGGTGGTATGACAAAATATAGTTGAATGATTATGTTAGGCCCAGCAAGTTATATTTATGCAAGTCTATACGATCAAGATAAGATAACGCTATTGAATATCCTGCTTAAATTGAAAGATAGTTCGAACTTTTATAGTGAATTGCCGACCATAATTAAGTTTTCTTTAGACTGAAAACATATCTTAATACTAGCAAATTTTCGATTAGTTTATGTAAATTTTATCAAACAGCCTTTTGTTCTTACTTCTCTGAAAATACCGAACTTGTGAGAATATAACACAGGCATAGATAGCGTTCGTTTTAGAACTAACATGACATTTCCGTTATCATAAAGATGAGGATAACACTCTTGCACCAAAATCCCTCTGTCGATGAAGAATAATATCTAGTTTCTTTTGGTTTAACGGAGAACGTTCCATTATATTTTGTATCCTTCGAAACATTGTACGAGGTTTGATGGTGAGCAATTCAATATCGAACAGAATTTGACAATTTTTTAATTCACAACTGCTGAACTCAATAAATTCGGCAATTATTCGATATTGTTAGATATTAACATCACAAACTATTAAATTTTGACACTAGCAATGTAATGAAACGATGGATGAAACAAATCTTATTTTTGGTTCATTGGATGAAAAGAATGGTAGCATAGCTATTTGGGAAGGAGTTGAAAGCGTGCCATGCAATTCGTAGGTCCGACTGGGTCTAATTCATCTTTCGTTTTTTTTTGACATGGACCTTTTCATCCCAATAACAACGCATTATGTGCAAAATAATTTTTTATACAAGGTAAAAAGTGCTGTAATACTGGAATAAATTATGTCATTATCTTTTGAAAAGATTTTGGTGAACTTCATGAAATATAAACTTTTCTCATGTACAAAAACTCGAAAATCCGTTTCGATACATAAATGTGAAACTAATAAAGGCACAAAAGAAAAGAGTTAATCGATGTTACATTCTTAAAGCCTAATATATCAATTCATTTACCGTTCCGATTTTCTGCAATCAGTGGATTTTCCGTATATATTAACTGCTCTAAAGATCACGTGATATATTATTCAGCAAAGAATAGATTTGTATTTTTTGAATTGCGATAAAGAGGGTCGACCGTACTATATTTATTGACTGAGCATAAGAGTGCAGCTATGTGAAAACAATAACACATTTATGTATATTTATAAATTTTGGAATGATTTTGTTTATTCTATATTGGACCCGAAGTGTACACATAGCTTCTTCTGATATTAAGATGTTTTTGTTTTTGTAGTTCCTGTCATGTTTTTTTCTTGTTGGTATATTTCTTTTTATGAAATATCGATTTACTCATTACCTACTGGATCAAATGCTTTCTAATTTTCAGTGCTTTAAAATTGTATTTTTTGCTGGAAAGCTAATACTTTTATATATCTCAAAAATGTATGTGTGCTATATGCGATTCTTTTTTTCGACGTAGTTTACGTCATCAAAAATGGAAATTGCGCACCTTGTGGCGGTAGTCTTCTGTGACAGATTTCATACCCGTACAACCTCGTTTCGGCCTTCGAGTCCATATATTTATGCATCGATTTCTTGTTGAAGTATTTTATGAATGATACAAATAAATAAAGTAATTGAGCTTATAGAAATTGTATTGTTCTACTAATGGAATGAAATCCAGCTATTTGCTGAATAAGCAAGAAAATAGAATAAACGTTGAACATTAGATTAATAATATAAATAGAGAAATAATTCGTATTTCAAATTTAAAGTAAAAATTATATTGAAAATATAAACTTATTGCACTTGCCATGTAAAGAATGACTTGAAAAATACGATTTTATTAATATTTCAATCATTTGCGAGAAATCACAACTTTAAAAGCATGCTTCGACATCTGATTCCGTGTTGTTTCCGTAGAACATTACTTCTTAGTGATCGACCTGTTGTTGAAAGTGGACTTGCTAAATCTCTTCTTCCTTTTCGGGTTGATCTATTACTTTGTGGTCGAATACTAAGTTGAGCTCCAGTGTATTGTGAAAAGTTATTAGTGTGTGTTTTGTTGTAATTTAGTTTAGATTTTATTTCATCCGCTTTTGGATCAGATCCTGAACGGTATATTTCTTGGATCATTGAGCACTCTTTGTTTGGAACGCTTTTCCTAAAATTGCGTGAAATAGTAATATCAATTTGTGTGAGATATCTTTTTTTTCTTGGAATATTCAACTTGTTTTGTCCTGGACTGACATGCTCGTTCAAAATCAATAATTCTTTTAAACTCTGTAAAGACAAATATAAATAATGGTTATTAGTTACGTTGTGAATAAATATTTGTTGAAAAGGTGATTGCTTCAATTAGGATATAAAATGTCTCATGCATAATGAAGCTTACCATAGATAACAGATCTTCTGTGGATTGATTTGAGTTGATTTTGCTGCACATACTTTACTAATTCCTCTCTTTGGATTGTGTAGAAGGTGGTATGACAAAATATAGTTGAATGATTATGTTAGGCCCAGCAAGTTATATTTATGCAAGTCTATACGATCAAGATAAGATAACGCTATTGAATATCCTGCTTAAATTGAAAGATAGTTCGAACTTTTATAGTGAATTGCCGACCATAATTAAGTTTTCTTTAGACTGATAACATATCTTAATACTAGCAAATTTTTGATTAGTTTATGTAAATTTTATCAAACAGTCTTTTGTTCTTACTTATCTGAAAATACCGAACATGTGAGAATATAACACAGGCATAGATAGCGTTCGTTTTAGAACTAACATGACATTACCGTTATCATAAAGATGAGGATAACACTCTTGCACCGAAATCCCTCTGTCGATGAAGAATAATATCTAGTTTCTTTTGGTTTAACGGAGAACGTTCCATTATATTTTGTATCCTTCAAAACATTGTACGAGGTTTGATGGTGAGCAATTTAATATTGAACAGAATTTGGCAATTTTTTAATTAACAACTGCTCAACTCAACAAATACGGCAATTATTCGATATTGTTAGTTATTAACATCACAAACTATCAAATTTTGACATTAGCAATGTAATGAAACGATAGATGAAACAAATCTTATTTTTGGTTCATTGGATGAAAAGAATGGTGGCATTGCTATTTGGGAAGGAGTTGAAAGCGTGCCATGCAGTTTGTAGGTCCGACTGGGTCTAATTCATCTTTCGTTTTTTTGACATGGACCTTTTCATCCCAATAACAACGCATTATGTGCAAAATAAATTTTTATACAAGGTAAAAAGTGCTGTAATACTGGAATAAATTATGTCATTATCATTTGAAAAGATTTTGGTGAACTTCATGAAATATAAACTTTTCTCATGTACAAAAACTCGAAAATCCGTTTCGACACATAAATGTGAAACTAATAAAAGCACAAAAGAAAAGAGTTAATCGATGTTACATTCTTAAAGCCTAATATATCAATTCATTTACCATTCCGATTTTCTGCAATCAGTGGATTTTTCGTATATATTAACTGCTCTAATGATCACGTGATATATTATTCAGCAAAGAATAGATTGGTAATTTTTGAATTGCGATAAAAAGGGTCGACCGTACTATATTTATTGACTGAGCATAAGAATGCAGCTATGTGAAAATCATAACACACTTATGTATATTTTAGGATTTTGAAATGATTTTGTTCAATCTATATTGGATCCGGAGTGTACATAGAGCTTCTTCTGTTAATAAGATGATTTTGTTGTTGTAGTTCCTGTCATGTTGCTTTTCTGGTTCTCCAGAAATATGCGCACCAAGATGTCGCACAACCTGAATCCTAACCGGTACATACCTACTATGTTCAGGTTGTGCGCCATCTTGGTGCGCATACTTGTGGAGGTCTCCCTTTCTTGTTATTATATTTCTGTTTATGAAATATCGATATACTCATTACCTACTGGATCAAATGCTTTCTAATTTTCAGTGCTTTAAAATTGTATTTTTTGCTGGAAAACTAATACTTTTATATATCTCAAAAATGTATGTGTGCTATATGCGATTCTTTTTTTCGATGTAGATGACGTCATCAAAAATAGAAATTGGGCACCTTGTGGCGGTAGTCTTCGGTGACATATTTCATACCCGTAAAACCTCGTTTCGGCCTTCGAGTTCATATTTTATGCATCGATTTCTTGTTGAAGTATTTTATAAATGATACAAATAAATAAAGTAATTGAGCTTATAGAAATTGTATTGTTCTAATGGAATGAAATCCAGCTATTTGCTGAATAAGCAAGAAAATAGAATAAACGTTGAACATTAGATTAATAGTATAAATAAAGAAATAATTCGTATTTCAAATTTAAAGTAAAAATTATATTGAAAATATAAACTTATTGCACTTGCCATGTAAAGAATGACTTGAAAAATACGATTTTATTAATATTTCAATTATTTGCGAGAAATCACAACTTTAAAAGCATGCTTCGACATCTGATTCCGTGTTGTTTCCGTAGAACATTACTTCTTAGTGATCGACCTGTTGTTGAAAGTGGACTTGCTAACTCTCTTCTTCCTTTTCGGGTTGATCTATTACTTTGTGGTCGAATACTAAGTTGAGCTCCAGTGTATTGTGAAAAGTTATTAGTGTGTGTTTTGTTGTAACAAACTTTAGATTCTATTTCATCCGCATTTGGATCAAATCCTGAACGGTATATTCCTTGGATCATTAAGCACTCTTTGTTTGGAATGCTTTTCCTAAAATTGCGTGAAATATTAATATCAATTTGTGTGAGATATCTTTTATTTCTTGGAATATTCAACTTGTTTTGTCTTGGACTGACATGCTCGTTCAAAATCAATAATTCTTTTAAACTCTGTGAAGAGAAATATAAATAATGGTTATTAGTTAAGTTGTGAATAAATATTTGTTGAAAAGGTGATTGCTTCAATTAGGATATAAAATGTCTCATGCATGATGAAGCTTACCATAGATAATAGATCTTCCGTGGATTGATTTGAGTTGATTTTACTGCACATACTTTACTAATTCCTCTCTTTGGATTGTGTAGAAGGTGGTATGACAAAATATAGTTGAATGATTATGTTAGGCCCAGCAAGTTATATTTATGCAAGTCTATACGATCAAGATAAGATAACGCTATTGAATATCCTTAATTGAATTGAATCCTTAAATTGAAAGATAGATAGTTCGAACTTTTATAGTGAATTGCCGAACATAATTAAGTTTTCTTCAGACTGATAACATATCTTAATACTATCAAATTTTCGATTAGTTTATGTAAATTTCATCAAACAGCCTTTTGTTCTTACTTATCTGAAAATACCGAACTTGTGAGAATATAACACAGGCATAGATAGCGTTCGTTTTAGAACTAACATGACATTTTCGTTATCATAAAAATGAGGATATCACTCTTGCACCGAAATCCCTCTGTCGATGAAGAATAATATCTAGTTTCTTTTGGTTTAACGGAGAACGTTCCATTATATTTTGTATCCTTCAAAACATTGTACGAGGTTTGATGGCGAGCAATTTAATATCGAACAGAATTTGGCAATTTTTTAATTCACAACTGTTGAACTCAATAAATTCGGCAATTATTCGATATTGTTAGATACTAACATCACAAACTATCAAATTTTGACATTAGCAATGTAATGAAACGATGGATGAAACAAATCTTATTTTTGGTTCATTGGATGAAAAGAATGGTAGCATTGCTATTTGGGAAGGATTTGAAAGCGTGCCATGCAGTTTGTAGGTCCGACTGGGTCTAATTCATCTTTCGTTTTTTTGACATGAACCTTTTCATCCCAATAACAACGCATTATGTGCAAAATAAATTTTTATACAAGGTAAAAAGTGCTGTAATACTGGAATAAATGATGTCATTATCTTTTGAAAAGATTTTGGTGAACTTCATGAAATATAAACTTTTCTCATGTACAAAAACTCGAAAATCCGTTTCGACACATAAATGTGAAACTAATAAAAGCACAAAAGAAAAGAGTTAATCGATGTTACATTCTTAAAGCCTTATATATCAATTCATTTACCATTCCGATTTTCTGCAATCAGTGGATTTTCCGTATATATTAACTGCTCTGAAGATCACGTGATATATTATTCAGCAAAGAATAGATTTGTATTTTTTGAATTGCGATAAAAAGGGTCGACCGTACTATATTTATTGACTGAGTATAATTCAGCTATGTGAAAATCATAACACACTTATGTATATTTTTGGATTTTGAAATGATTTTGTTCAATCTATATTGGATCCGGAGTGTACATAGAGCTTCTTCTGTTAATAAGATGTTTTTGTTGTTGTAGTTCCTGTCATGTTGCTTTTCTGGTTCTCCAGGAATATGCGCACCAAGATGTCGCACAACCTGAATCCTAACCAGTACATACATACTATGTTCAGGTTGTGCTCCATCTTGGTGCGCATACTTGTGGAGGTCTCCATTTCTTGTTATTATATTTCTGTTTATGAAATATCGATATACTCATTACCTACTGGATCAATTGCTTTCTAATTTTCAGTGCTTCCAGATTGTATTTTTTGCTAGAAGGCTATTACTTTTATATTTATCAAAATTGTAAGTGTGCTAAATGCGATTTTTTTTTTCGATGTAGATGACGTCATCCAAAATAGAAATTGCGCACCAGGTGGCGGTAGTCTTCTGTGACAGATTGCATAGCCGTATAACCTCGTTTCGGCCTTCGAGTCATTTATTTAAGCATCGATTTTTTGTTGAAGTATTCATTATAAGATACAAATAAATAAACTAAATGAGCTTATAGACATTTTATTTTTCTAATGGAATGAAATCAAGCTATTGGCTGAATAAGCAAGAAAATAGAATAAACGTTGAAACATTAGATTAATAGTATAAAAAGAGAAATCATTTGTATTTCAAATTTAAAGTAAAAATCATATTGAAAATATAAATTGATTGCACTTTCCATGTAAAGAATGGCTTGAAATATACGATTATTTATTTATGCAATTATTTGCGAGAAATCACAACTTTTAAAGCATGCTTCGACATCTGATTCCGTGTTGTTTCCGTAGAACATCACTTCTTAGTGATCGACCTGTTGTTGAAAGTGGACTTGCTAAATCTCTTTTCCTTCTCGGGTTGATCTATTACTTTGTGGTCGAATGCTAAGTTGAGATCCAGTGTATTGTGAAAAGTTATTAGTGTGTGTCTTGTTGTAATATACTTAAGATTCTACTTCATCCGCATTTGGATGGAATCTTGATCGGTATTTTCCTTGGATCATTGAGCAATTTTTGTTTGGAATGCTTTCTCTAAAATTGCGTGAAATATCAATATCAATTTGAGTGAGATATCTTTGATTTCTTAGAATATTCAACTTGTTTTGTCTTGGATTGACATGCTCGTTCAAAATCAATAATTCTTTTAAACTCTGTAATGAAAAATAATGGTTATTAGTTACGTTGTGAAAACATATTTGTTGAAAAGGTGTTTCCTCTAATTATGCTATAAAATGTCTCATGCATAATGAAGCTTACCATAGAAAAAAGATCTTCTGTCGATTGATTTGAGTTGATTTTGCTGCACATACTTTACTAATTCCGCTTTTTGGATTGTGTAGAAAGAGTTATGACAAAATATAGTTAAATGATTATGTTAGGCCAAGCAAGTTAAATTTATGCAAGTCCATACGATCAAGATAAGATAACGC